CGAAATGTAAGTGTTTGGCGACATCAGGTGCCGAGGCGAAACTGGTCGATGTTGCAATTGCATCATATCACACCGACGAATGCCACTGCCTTGAAAAAACCACATGCCCACACAGAATGGTACAGGGTGCTGTTTCTTTCTTCCGCTAAGCAGCGCCGCTGTTCAGCGAGGAGGCGTCGCTCCATAAATCGCATGGGAGGGAAACTGGCGCAGTTTCAACGCGAAGCATGCCAAGCATCTAGCGCCGTCCAGACGTCAGCGGTTCGTGTGCTTCAGCAAAACGACTTCAGTCGGTGACGTCCCAAACGCTCTGGTAATGGTACGAAGGGGTGTGCTGTGTATTGTGACAGAGACACGCTTGCTGGACTCTGCTGCACTATCGCGTGTAAATTATGCGTGGTCCAACTTGGAACAGTAGATGGGCGGTATCAGAACACGACGGGTCCCGTCAGCTCTGCACACTGTGCGTGCTACACATTTCAAAATATCCAAGGACCAAGGACCAAAACATCTCTCACGTCAAACCTCAAAACGCGCTTTATACGTCAGTCCACGATCCAACTACTCCTCCGAGAAATCCCGCGACACACTCTGATGGGCTGCGGTGTCCGTGGAGATGGATGGTTCATTCGGAACATCAGCGACGGCGGCAAAAGTGCGTGGCTTTGGTCTTGGAAGATGAAACGGAATCCGTTCTCGTTCCATCTTTCCAAGGATGTCATAGTCAGCTGGATACGACTCTTCATCGTGGGGACTGTTTACTAATGCGCTGTACTAGATGGTGGAGTCTTCCTCAAAAAAGGAGCTCGACCGACTGATTGTGAAAGCGAATTGCATGCGTCGTTAATAGCAACGGCAAAAAGTGTCACGCTCCAGACGCCGCCCTGAGGCACCCCGATTATCAAAGAAAGTTTGTGGGTCGACTTAATGCCACGGCGGACACGAAAAAGGCGATAAATTAAAAAGTTCTGCACAAAAGTGCCCACCGGGCCCGGATGATAAGGTCAAGGAGCTTCAGAATAATACCACGGTGCCAACAAAAGTCAAAGGCACCCCTACATCAAAGAACAGCGCGCCAACATATCGTCTTTGCTTAAACCGGACACGTTTAGCAGCACCAAGGGGTAAGATATGGTCTGCGGTACTTTGAGGCTTCCTAAAAACACTGAGCATTCGCAACGACACCATGCACTTCTAAAACCCAGGTGGATCGTTCATTTACCATACTTTCCACCAGTTTACATAATGATTATGTAAAGAGATCAGCAAATAGTGAAGTGGTTCTTCGCCACTTTTCCAAAGCTTTATCACGCGCCCGGGTGGCCGGTTGAATGCCTTTCGTTCTGGTGGGAAAGAGAGGGAGTCAATTTGACCCACCTGAGACCTAAAAAAAAACTGAGAGATAGACATCAAATGCGCAGGGTGGGTTGGTCTGTATATGAACTCACTTGTGTCGAACTTTGTGGTTCCCTGGTCATAACCTTTGGATCAAATAAGGTCAAACAAAGCCGAGCTTCAGATTGGTGTCCAAAGTGCCCCCAACCTCTCAATGCCACCGGCTTAAGCCTAGATACCTGTTCTAAGCAAAAGGTCACTGGTGTTTATTCGAGGTCACTCACCTTCTTTAACGCCGAAAAGACCAAGGTGACCAAATTCATACGGGATATTTTGATTTTTTTATTTGAACATGCGTCAAAGTTTACGTTAAGCAACATGTTCCCAAAAACAAAATGTTGACGTGGGTCATTTCAGGTTAGCAACCTACTCTGGCATCGAAGAAGTCCACCAAAGACGTTTATTGCGGTCCCTGTTTTTAACAAATTCGCAATAAGCACCTGAAATTGCCTCATACAACAGAATACAACAAATGTCGAGTAAAGAAGCAGGTTGGCTTCTAATTCGGTCTGACCTTCAAACCTGTCCGTCATGTCTAGAAATTGTCTTCGCTGGCAACCACGGCCCGACTTTCACCCGCCATAGGTCAATGTCATTACCAACATCTAATCCTTATTTCAAAATATTCACCATCATTGCCTAAGTGTGCAAAGCTTGGCGGGCTACATACGCTTTTCGGAATTTTCTTTCATTTTATGAATAATTATTCCGTAAAAACCTTCGGTTTTAGACCGAATGGGGCATGGGGTAAAAAAAATATGGCGTTTTAAAATATTTGGGTGAACAAAAATGGGGATAGGGTAAAACCGAAGGCATTTACTCCATCCCTCATGGGGCGCGGGGTAAAACCGAAGGTTTGACCCCCATTCTACCGGACGCGTGCTAAAACAGGAATTACGGTAGCCTCCCGCCGCCCTGCAGGAAAGCCACCACCTGTCCCTCAGGAAGTTAAAAGTCGCCCGGAGCATCCCCGTGCGTAAGGTGGCAGTTGATGTAGCACGTCCACTCTGCATTTAGCCAGCCCCTCTGAAACCACTACGTAGTGCGCTAGCGCTCACCAACTCCGCCTTTGAAAACAAGTCTTTGCATGGGCAGTTTGTCAAAGTGGAGAAGTCACTATGCATGCTTGGCAGCGGGCGCTGCAACGAACAAACAATGGCCCATGTTCCAGTCCTGACCACGCTCCCATATCGCACGAGCGATTTTTTTGCGACATCCATCGGTGGGGGCAGATCAGACCACCAACTCGCAGCGCAAGACGAGGCATTGAACGAAATTGCTCCGAAATACGCTTGACGCGGGAACAAACTCTAAATATTGGTGTGAAATGGTTCAATGCGCTCACCTATTTTCAGCACGACTGACTTTCAACTACCTTCACGGTACATCTAGCGAACGCCCATGCCTTCTTAAGAGCTTCAGGTTATATTTGGTGCCCCTGCGACCGAAAGTTCGAAAAGCCGCTTCCGTTCACAGTAGCGAGCCTTAGGTGTTTGTGAGACCGCAAGCTACCCTAATATCTGTACGGGAGGGGGGAGGAGCAATAAGTGGTGGAATATTTCAGTAAATGGGAGCGTTAGGCTTGATTTCGCCGCCAAGGCTAATGTCAAATGTGTGACCCATGGAGCAAGGGGAGAATGCAGCTGAGAAAAGCTAACAGGACTCCCAGAGTGGACATGTTGCGCACCCGGTATCCATGGTAACCAGCAGCGCAGGCCGCGTCGCGTCCCATCCTGTCGCGTTGCGTTGCGCGCGCCGCATAAAAACCCCTAGTGTGAGGCGCACTGAAGAGCGACTGGGATGTGCCGATAGTTTAAAATATAGACGTGCATCTACAGCCTGGAGCGTAGACTGCGTCGCGACATGTTGAGGGACAGCCGACAAACTCAGCCCGTGCGACATGCTTTCAGCCAATGAGTTCGGCACCAGCTCCGTTTCCTGCAGACTTCCTGCCCCCCGTTACTACCGTTTCCTCCTACACCGGGGTTCACAAATTAGCATGGAGCTTATGATTGCCTAGTGATGAAGGTTCACATAAAGCTATACAGCCCTGTGACAACCAACCCACAACCCACTGCTGTCTAAGCTATACAGTGGGGCTTAACAGCGGCAGCCGCTGGGGCCTGCAGAGCTTGGAGTTATATCCAGTCGGAGCATCCCAACGCTGCTGCAGCTCAGCCCGGACTGCCGGCCGCTGACTCACCCGCTCCTGCATGTCCTTGGCGTCGCTCCTGGCCTTGCTGAGCTTGTGGTCCAGCTGCTTAATCTCCAGCTCGCGGTCGCGATTATCGCTGATGACTTTCTCCTTCTTCGTGGCCAGCTGCTGGATTTCCTTGTTTTGGGCGTTCATCACGTCCTTTTGCGCCTTGACGGCCGCCTGAGCCTGGGCAAGCGCCGCCTGCCGGGAGGGTCCCGTCTGTTACGCCACCTGCCCGGAGAGACTCGCCTTCACGCCACCTGCCCGGAGAGACTCGCTCGTTACGCTACCTGCCAGGAGAGACTCGCCTGTCCGCCACCTGTCGGGAGACTCGCCCGACACGCCACCTGCCAGAGAGACTCGCCTGTCACGCCCACCTACCCGGAGAGACTCGCCTGTCACGCCACCTGCCAGAGGAGACTCGCCTGACCGCCACCTGCCAGAGGAGACTCGCCTGTCACGGCTACCTGCCAGGAGAGACTCGCCTGTCACGCCACCTGTCGGGAGACTCGCCTGTCACGCCACCTGCCAGAGGAGACTCGCCTGTCACGCCACCTACCCGGAGAGACTCGCCTGTCACGCCACCTGCCAGAGGATACTCGCCTACCACGCCACCTGCCCGGAGAGACTCGCCTATGCAAAATGCTCTTAAAAAACCAAATGCTACTGATCTGCACTTATCTTGAAGAAGTCCATCAAAGATAGGTCTTGCGGCCCCTGCTATAAATAGATTCGAAATGAGCACCAAAACTACCTCATACGCAAGGCCTTCAGTGCAAAAACACCCCGGTTATGACCTTGGTCTGACGTTCAACACCTGACCCTAGGTCAATGGAACTTGTTGTAATCGTATGAGCAATTCCCTAGAATTTGTCCTCGCTAACAGCCACGCCCCCGACTGGGACCCGTCATAGGTCAAGCAACCCTACAACATGCATCGGCTACGCCGCGCTCTGTACGAGCATAAGTTTGTAAAAACCTTCTCGGGTGGAAGGGTCAAGTCCCCCCCCCCCCCCCCCCCCCCGCCACCACCACACGCGTGCGGCGTACACAATGATAGTTGTGGTTAATGGTCACCAATGTACACCCTCCAACCGTACGCTCATGTCCATGAATATTTTCGTAACTTTCAGGAATCGTCTAGCGCTAAAAAAAAATAGGACTCATTAACAGGCTGATGGTCTTGGTGATATGCCCAGACCAAGCGTGACCTAAGATGTTGACGCGCGTGATCACGGAAACATCACATCCAGCCGGGCCGACACGTAGGCAGGGTGCGTGTGTCATGAGAAAGTGCGGCCTGAGGGGGCCGGCTGTAAGGCCTGAGGCGGGCCGACCGCGCGGCCTGAGGAGCCCGGGGCGCTGACCTGTGCAGCCTGCTTGCCGCGTCTGAGCATCGGCCAGTCGCTCGGCGTACTGCGACAGCGCCCGTCTCCGCCGCCGCGATTCTGCTCCTCAGTCGACTGCACCGAGGTGCCCAGGTCGGCGATCTCCAGGCGCATCTTGCTCCTCCTCCTGCCGGGCGGACGGGGGTCGTCACACGCAAGCCGGCCGACGCGGCGCGAGCTCGGCCCGGCCGTGAGACACACATCCCACCCGCGCAGTCGGCACCGCCGCCTACAGCTACCGTCTTTCACGGCCCGCCGCAGCGTTCCAGCAGCGAGGCACGGCCCACTGGAATATACGACAGGTGTTACAAAACAGACCACACAATTGAGTGAACCGCCAGTTCCACTCTTGAGAGTGTGTCATTGGGACTTTACGGACAGACACCTCAGCTGCTGACGGCTATATGAACGTCGCTTGCCCTCTCACCCTGGTCATGAAGGGCTGGGCACCACGGGGAATCGAACCCCGTACATCCTGGTTTCCCAGACGCGCAGTGGTTAAACGCCAGACGCGTAAACCACTACAATACCGGCACCCCCACTCTGAGAGAGTGAGACCCGGCCCGGTAACCTGCTGCCGATCCTGCCAGGCCTTGCGCGTCTCCTCGGCCCGTGTCTTGCAGGCCTTGACCTCGGCCTCGGCGCTGTTCAGCTCGCGTTCTCGCACAGCCTGCTGATCTCGGATCTGTTCCTCCAGGTGGGCGACGCGCGCTCGCTGCCCCTTCCGGTCGCCGCACAGCGCGACTGCGTTTCCTCCAGCTCCACTGACGGAGGGGAGAGACGAGAGGGAAGCGTCACACACCGGCCGGCAGCTGGCGCGTGACGGCGAGACGCGACTGCTCACACTACACACACCGAGACCCTGACAGTGGGGTGCAATGAAGAGCATTTACTCCTACCGTCACAGATCTGCCGGAGGAACAGGGGCTTTAGAGCACATAGCCTATAAAACGTCGGAAGGCAGCCGCTGGCAGCCTTCTGCTCCGCACCGGTCGGTCTCCCGGCGTCCCCCCCGCCGCCAGCCAGTGGGGACGGCGCGGTGCCCAGTTTAGCGCCCCAGCCGTCGACAGTGCACGCGCCAACGGGCACCACGGCGACTGCGCGCTGTCCTGCCCGACCACCAGGCTACTCCAAACCGACTACTAAGCGACCAGAGAGCGCGAAGGACGTAATGCTGATGCCGTTTGCGCGTTCCACATACCATAGCCCGACCACAGCTGATCGCGATGTGGGGTAATGTAAAGCCGCCGTAACCCAGAGTTGACAAGCCACCGCACATAGATCAGGTTCGGAGCTAATGCCAGGACAGAATCGCGCCACTCCACCCATGAATACGTCGATATCCCATAGTGAAACCAAAATGGCAACTTTGAACGGGCTCGTAACCGAGACTCGAGCCGCAATACGCTGGATGACTGATGACTGATGATGATGATGATTTACGGAAGCCATCTGCATACGCGGGTGAGCGTGGTGTCGCGCGGCTCCTCGGACGCGAGAGCCGCGCTCCCGACCGGCCCAATGCGGCTTTCATGAGTGTGGGTCCGCTGCGGCTTCCGTGTGTGGACGCACAACATGGATGATATCATTTGGTTTTCTCTGGCTGATAATTGATATCTGCGGGCGCTTCGAAAATTCGAATATACAGTGCCCCACTTCTGTTCAATCCGGTGACTGCTGAAAGCTGGTGCGACGGACAGCTGGGACAGCACGATTGCGGCATTTGAAAAATTATCTGTCTACGATGTTATCTCCCCGGTGCGCATGAATGGCTGCGTTTAAATAGCTTATATGTCTCTTACCTGCCCCTATCCGTATCACAAGCGTGCGCCTGGCTCCTGGTAGGTGCGTGTGCGTGTGCGTGTGCGTGTGCGTGTGGTGTGTGTGTGTGTGTGTGTTGCGCGTGTGCGTGTGCGTGTGCGTGTGCGTGTGCGTGTGCGTGTGTGTGTGTGTGTGTGTAGCGAGCCCCTCAAAACCAAAATGGCCATGTCCCAGTTGAGCGACAAACTTCGTGGCTATAATAGCCTCGCTCTCTGCTTGCAACAAAGCATAAGCGAGCAAATGAGGTGTATCTACCCAGCAGGAGTACCAGCCGCCCGGGGCAGACCGCACCGAGCGGAGAGGGGGGGCGTGATCGCCGAGCAGCACTGACCGATCAGCTGTTCCAGGCGCTGCACCTCCTGCTGCAGCTGGCAGTGGGTGGTCTGCTGCAGCCGCTCCCGCACCAGCTGCAAGCTCGTGCCGCTTCAGCTCAGCTGCTGCTTCAGCTGCGCGTACCTGCCGGCGTGGCTCGGAATCAGGTGCGCGTCTGCAGACGGCGCGCGCGGCGCCAGCCACGCTATAAGACAGCCGCGGTCACAAACGCGCCGACGGAAGCCCGGGACAGCGCCGGGATGGATTGGAGGGACGAGGGGACTGATGGAGGATTGGAGGAGGGGGGATTGGAGAATGGGATCGGGGTGGGGAGACCGCGCGCTCTGGTGAGCAGGTATCGCCTCATCTGGATAGCACTGGACCCCTGGCCTGTGACGGCCCTCAGCCAGCTAGCATTCTCTCGGTAAGTGGTACAGTGCAGATACTGGCTCTGCCCCATCGTACCCAACGGGCTCACAAAACACCGCAAAATTAGTCACGCTTAAACACGGCTATCGAACATGAGCCTTTCGTATTGAAAGTCAAAGCCTCTGTCGCGCTAAAAGAACGTCCTCCCCATCTTATGGCAATCCGAACTTTGCATGCCCGTTCTTCCTACAAATAAAGAGGGCGCGACGCGACCCATGACGTCGCCGCCCACTTCCAAAAGCCCTGCTCCAGCCGGGATTCGAGCACAAGAGACGAGGTGGTCGCATCACCTACTGAGCCCAACAGGCTCACATCCCGTACTAACAGTGCCCCCGCCCACCGAGCTTCATGGGATTCACGCCACATTTAAGTCATTGCAAGGTAACGGCCAACGTTTTAGCAGTTCAATATTCATTGACCCTCTGTCGAGGAGGCAAACGCCGTTATAATCTCAGCAGCGTCGAACACGTCCGACTGGCTTACATGGCTGGTAAGGACTACTGGCCGAAAGAAAAACACGGCAAAAAAGAAAACAACCGAGTCTAGTTACATCGTAACTAAATTAATAGAATCCTTTCCAGGAAAAAAATCGGGCGCGAGAGGGTCGGTGGATATAATGCTGATACAAAGAACCGTTTAAAAGAGCGTGGAGCGCTGAACTCTGTCACGCAGACTCAAGTGGACTCAATCAACAATCACGCGGACTCAAACAGGACTCAACCCACAACGCACCAGAACCTCGCCCACCAACATTCAATACGAAACTCACAGGCACATAGCAACAGCCAAACCTCGGCCCAAGGAAGTCATCATTGGCACAAACTTGCGGATCCAGGTTTTTGAAATCGGTGTGCCGCTCCGTTCATGCGCTTTAAGGCAGCTGCATGGCCCGTTACGGTGGCTAGCCCGGACCAGACCGCTGCCCTCAGATGATAAAACAGGTGGATCGGCGCTGGGACAGCACCGGTCACACTCGCACGCGTCTGACCGCTGGGCAGCACCGGTCACACCGCGCACGCGTCTGACCGCTGGGCAGCACCGGTCACGCTCACGCGCGTCTGACCGCTGGCAGGGCAGGCGACCACTTACTGCCCACTTGGTTAGCCCCACCAACAATATCTTGGTCATCACACACTCCAGGCACTCACCCTCCACCGGCCGATCGGTGCCGCGCGCCCTGCTGTTCCACGAGGTATCCACTATTCAAGGCGCGCGCAGCGCAGTCTCCCATGTGTCGCGATTCTGCTCAGAGCTACACTTACTGGGGCTGGGGGTACACAAGCCCAAGGCAGGGCACGGTACACCAAGTGCTACACCTCCCACAGCAAGCAATTCATTCATAGCAAACACACATTGAGCATTTTATTGCAGATTGTTGCAAAGCCAATTTGCCTATCACTGGGCACCTCTGCGTGTGTAGTTTATACACAAAGTTCTGGCCGCCACCGCGGACGCAGTACTTCCAGGTAGCATCTGAACACCTCAGACCACCACGTGTCCGCCGGCCGGCCTCCGCCCATCGGCTACTCACCTGTCGCCGTTCTCCGTCAGCGACGAACAGCTCCGCCTCGACCTCGGCCAGCCGCTGCTCCAGCTGGCGCAGCCGCTGCTGGCAGCGTACAGCGCGTGCAGCTCGGCTAGCACCGAGGAGCGCGCCTGGCGCGAGCCGCCCGTCAGGGTGCCGGCCGGGTCCACCACATCTCCGTCCAGCTCACAGCGCGGCGCTGCACGCGGTGGGTCGAACGCCACCTGTCGGCGCCCGGACCGCGTCAGAGGTCACGGGTCACGGGTCACCGTCGCGTCAGAGGTCACGGGCCACGAAGAGGTCACGGGTCCCACGCCAGACGTTACGACGGACACGTTTGCGGCGGGCATTAACATGCAAACAGCGGTGCACTGTTAATGCCTAACGAACGGAACGGAACAGGGCGGGGAAAGCGGTCCCATAGCACCGATACGGGTTGCCAATGTGCGCGTTTCAGTGAACATAGTGGCCGTGAGGCAGGTGGCGGCCTTGCCGACGTGGCGGCGTGTGGCCGCGTCTCACCTCTTGGCCACGTCCAGGCGCTGCAGATGAGCGTGTTGCCGAACACCCACTCCATGGCCTTCTGCAGGCGCGGCTCGTGCTGGATGCAGGAGAGCGCCGTCCGCCGTTCTCCTTGCCCACCTACCGGCGCGCCGGGCGGCCCGGTCAGAGGTTAGGCCCGACCTGACTCTCCCGCCGTTCGGCACATCACACACCACTCGCGTCGGAGGACAGCTGAGTGAACGCCGGCACTGCGGCGCTACCGTAACGCGCCGGCTCCGGGCCAGCGGGACCAGCTCGAAGAGCCGGTGCCGGGCGCGCCGAGCGTGGCCGGCCGGGTCGCAGCCGCTGTCATGACGAACGGCCCGCCGGGCCCGCTGGGGGGTCCCAGCGGCCGCGGCCCGCCCGACACCGGCGCCGCAGCCGCAGGGGGCTCGACGGGACGGAGGCCTCGGAAGGCAGACAGGACCACCGCATGCGGACCACGCCGCCAAGCTCTTGACGATACGACAGTGGCAATGTGTCAAACAACCTGACCCCGACAAATGCGCCCAATCAGCAGGCGTTTATCACCGTTCGCCACAGTCGACCCTGGCCTCCATACTCTCAAGTACTGAACCATCAGACACTGACGTGTTACCACGGTACTGAGCCACGGGCTGCATCCCAGCAGCCATACTGCCAGCACGCGTGGCCACCAGCCACTGACCACTTTCTCAGCGTGTCGGATAGTCTGCATGTCGATGCTGGAGCTGGAGATCTTGTTGAGCGGGATAAACGTGACGCGCTTCTGCAGCTGTCCCCTTTCCAGCAGCTTTTTGCCCACCACCTCGTGTCCACCACCACGTTGTACAACTGAGGCAATGACGACACCAATCAGGTGACTTGCGATGTCGCGCCGACATGCATGTGATGTGAGACAACCACATACTCCTGGCATTTTACACTCTAGCGAATCGTACAAAGTGTAGTGTTATCATTAATTGACAGCGTCGACTGTGACACACTGTGCACTAAACCAGGCCAATGGACATTCGGTAGCCCGTTCCAGTCCAATAAAGCACTTAACGTCATCACGCTTACACTTCGCGTAGCTCTGTGCGCAAGACGACATATTCGACTCGTTGATAGCGATCTCGCACCCTGACTGCACCCACCAATACTGCGTGTCAACAGCAGCAGCGGCTCCGGCGAGCTGGCTTACCCGGCCGCCGGCGGTCACCTCCAGGGCGGTGGCCGTGGCGACGTCCTTCATGTTGAAAAGCTTTCCCACCACGCCGCGAACGGTGCTGCGGTCGAAGCCCTTCTCCGGGTCCCGGTAGTCGAGCACCAGCTGGGGGGTACCTGCAGCCGCCGGCCGGCGTCGGCGTCAGAGCCCGTGCCGCTGCGGAGGGCGCCGGGCGGCGGCGTGGCGGCACCGGGTGGGCCGCACGCTCCGCAAATGTAGACGCGACAGAACGAACGGTCCACGCGCGTGACTCCAAGGTCAGAGAAGTGACGCAAAACAAGACCCGAGACGAACTTGTGCGGTCTAGTATAGGTCTGCAGGTCTGGAGGGGTCTAACAACACGGCCTGGACAACAGTGTCCTGCGGACGCCCGGTCGTCTCCTAACGGCTGAGGACGACAGGCTGAGGGGACCAGTTACCGCGACTCCAGCACGTCCAGCTTCTCCTTCAGCCGGCTGAGCTCCTGCTTCAGCTCGCGACGCTCCGTCTCCAGCACGTCCACCCTGGCCTCGTCGTACCGCAGCTGGCCCATTGACTTCTAAAAACAGGCCCCGTCGTCTGCTCAGTATCGAACGACCAACCGCGAGAGAAACGACGAGCAAATGCAAACGAAGGTCAGTTGTCGTTTGCACAGACTTCGCAGAGTAGCTAGCAGCGCTGGTAACTGTCCGCCTGCTAGTGATTACCACGTGTAACTGCGTTCTCACAAGACTACGTGTACGTGAGTACCCTCTCAGGCTCTTGTGACAACACAACATCTATTTGTTCCATTCAGCCCAAAACTACACGTGCGACGGGATGGCTTTACACCAGCACAAAACCGTCACCGTGTAATGCGCCAACAGGCCAGCCGTTGTACCCGGACAAGCCATGGATCAAATGCCAGCAAACACTAGACATTGCACGCACATCACTATTGAAGAGTCGGTGTTAGTGTCACGCTCGGCGGCATATCTGACACGTGTTGTCGCGGCGTGGGCCCAGCTGCCGCAGCGCACGCCGCTCACCAGCCCCTTGTCGCCAAACCACAAACGGAGGGCCGCCACGGTCACCACACCTGTCGGCTACAGGCACCCTCGCCATCTATAAAAGCTACCTCGACCTTACGAGCCGAGACGGCTCGTTTTAAAACGCCTGTGCGCCCATGAATCCCAAGTAAGCTCTACCGGCACCAATCCTGTGGCCACTGCCGCCAGCCTGCTCATGTCTCCCGTGCTCTGGTGTGCGGCCGGTGTGCTGCAGAGCCGCCTGGCTGACCTCGAGACGGGCCGCGTCGGCCCCATCGTCTGCAGCTGGCTCGAGTCGCGTCGGTACTCGCTCTCCGTCTTCTTCATCTCGGAGCGCCGCTTGGCCAGCTCCTGCTTGGTGTGCTTCAGCTTCATGTCCGCCTGCTTGCGCTCCGTCTCCGAGTCCGCGATGGCCGACTTGGCATCTGCCGTGGCCGAACAGCAGGCGTTAGCGCGACACCGGGCTACGCTCGATGACCTGCAGCATTTCTGAATAAGGCTTCTCCGCAGACCTGTGGCCATTCCCTAGTCCGGGTAATGCGCCTAAATCGCTGAGTGCACCCGCACAGAAGCCAGGTGACGTCAGAAGGCAGGACGGACCGTGGATTGTGACACGTTGAACTTCTTCCGACAAATTGTGGGGTTGAGCTGGAATTGCACGACTGGATGGCAGGGGTCGAGGCTCACCCAAAAAGCATCGCTGGGCGTGAGCTCCGAACCCAGACATGAATTCATTCAAAAGGCTGGACACTGGGATAAGGTGAAAAATGAGAAAAAAAATGTGAGCAAGCATTACGGAAAACAGGCCTTCACAACCTCAAGCGCTAATAAGATCGACAGTGCGACGTCGCTTGCGAGCTGATGTATTTGGGCGCGGGGCGGCACCACACTCACTCATGAGCTGCTGAGCGAGCGTGGCGTCCTGGCCGTCGTCGCCGCTGAACATCCCCGAGCTAATGGCCTGGAAGCGTTTCTGGGCGGCGGCGAGCGCGGCCGCCTGCTCGGCGTCGGCCTCACGCAGCGCGTCGAACACAGCGCGCAGTCGGCTCATCTCCTGCTGCCTCTGCTCCAGCGCCGCGCGGTCCTGTCGGCCCGTCACACGGCTCACACCCGGCTCAGACACCGTCCTGTCGGCCGGTCACACGGCTCACACCGGGCTCAGACACCGCCCTGTCGGCCCGTCACACGGCTCACACCCGGCTCAGAGACCGCCCTGTCGGCCCGTCACACGGCTCACACCCGGCTCAGACACCGCCCTGTCGGCCCGTCACACGGCCCACACGGGGCTCAGACACCGCCCTGTCGGCCCGTCACACGGCCCACACGGGGCTCAGACACCGCCCTGTCGGCCCGTCACACAGCTCACACCGGCTCAGACACCGCCCTGTCGGCCCGTCACACGGCCCACACGGGGCTCAGACACCGCCCTGCCGGCCCGTCACACGGCCCACACGGGGCTCAGACACCGCCCTGCCGGCCCGTCACACGGTCCACACGGGGCTCAGACACCGCCCTGTCGGCCCGTCAGCATTGCATTGACCAGCATTGTATATGCGTCAACCAAGTCAGTCCGGTGTAAGGAGCAGAGAAAAGAGCTCATCACGATGTAGGTCGTGGCGACTTACATCCGCCAAACTTTTCTGCAGTTGTTTCTTCTTCTTCTCCTCGGCTTTCACTGAATCCTTGACACCCTTCACGGCAGCAATAGCTTTCGCCTCGACTTTGGTATCCTCCTCTAGCTTCTCCTCCAATGAGACGAGAGTACCACCAGTTTCCTGGACAAGGGAAACATCAGAAGTTCGCATCATTCCCGTCAGCACACAGGGTGGGCCAAACATTTCAAGTCCGCATCATTCTGTTAACTACGAATTACCGGAGTGATGAAGCATTCCGCACATTAATCCAGCAGTTCTTGCTCTACTGTACGGCAGGCTCCCCGTCTTTGAACATTTTGTTGAGGAATCACGCTCCATGGGTCTTACCTGGTGTATTACGATTCATTGAATACTGCCTCAGATTTTGAATGCATCCCGAGAATTAACTTCATTGCCAATAGTTTACCATTTTTGACATATTTTGGTGGTATTGACGACTGAGGCCTAACCAGAGCAGGACATCATAATAAACTTTTTTTCGGAAATGGCGACTTCTTACGATTCTTTATTTCCGTTAAGCCCCAATGACGGCGGAAGAACTATTATATCAACATCTCATATCCTTGAGTTGCCCATTGCATTGATAAGCCCTAACTGTACGGGTTCCAAAGGTGTCGCGTCCAATCGCTAACGTTTCGTTATAATTTGCACGGTACCAACAATCTTCTCTCTTGCTCCACGTCAGAGGACATGTCTTACTGCTCTAAAAATCACGCGTTCACTGTCGGCGAGTTCTAATCCGGTTCCTGACAGTCGGGAAGCGCGGACTGACCGTGTCTCGCTGGTGCTGTAGCTTGCCGATGTCCTCCTCGTACCGCCCGATGTCCTGCTGGCCCTGCTCGATCTGGCCCCGCACCTGCTCGATGGAGTGCTGCACCTCCTGCTCGTCCGATACGGCCTTCTTGCACGACTCCTAGGAGAGGGGGCACACAGGCTTTCCGACTGCGCCAACCACCGACCAGCAGCCCGCTTCGACTGGACGCATGTCCGTGTGGTGGTCAGGACCTCGGGATCGTCATGGGAGCAAGATGGCGTGACGACCAATGAATGGAAAACGGCCAAGAACCACTAATTCCTCTCCTTGACAGCCCTGCATAAGATCGATGCATAGGTAAATACACACAGTGAATAACCGTCAGCATCTGTCAGCATCTGCCAGCTGCGACATTAGTATTAGTGACGGACGACATCCGCCACATCGAGCATACAACCCCAAGGAGGGTGACGACTGCATCCCAGAAAAACACGTCCCGTCACGCAAGCCGCACATTTCGAAAAGCATGCGTTTAATCTAATTCGTTTGCGATCATGGTGTTTTCTTACACAGTCAGTCGCCGGTTACACGAGATGCCTGGCTGTGCTTACCTGCGTGGTGACAAACTTGAATGCAATGCAAAATTTGCTCAGATTGTTCGTATTCTCGCTCCACCGTTTTGATATTCCAAATACGTGGAACGCTCTTCTTTCAACTTATTCATCGTTGGGTTGATTTCTTCGTCCAAGATCTGTAACAATTTGCTGTAATAATGTTCGGAAGGGAACACTGAGATAATTTTCGGAAGAGAATGCCATTATTTCCGCTCCTCGCCTCCCGCACGGCCAGGCATAACGAGGAGACCTCTCCCCGCCCTGACCGTGGTTCAGCCGCCGCCGCCCCTTGACCCCTTAGGGCCGCTGCGCACGGCCAGGCGGCCCAAGCGGAAACTCGCGCAGAGCACGCAGCCGCAGCGCGAGCGACAAACCGCTAGACCCGTGTGGGGTCTCCCGTCCCCCCCCCCCCCCCTTCAGGGCCCCCGCACAATCCTGGCCAAAGTGAAGTCTCGGGGACGCGCCGTGACTGACCCGCACGACGCGTCTCTCGGCCACCAGGATCCGATCAACTCGGGGACGCGGGCGCGGGGGCACGGGCGACCCCGATTAAAGCGGGGGATTGGGAGTGATGAGTGGATCGAATGCGGGAAAGCGGGTATGAGAAGAAAAGCGGGCGGGACAGGGAGCGGGAGCTCACGCACCGGCAGCGTCCGCTACGCCCTGAGAGGAGCAGCTTGCTCTGTCCACCCCATTACCGGAGCTGGGACCCGAGAGACCACGTGACTTCGCGATCAGCTCGCTGAATGACCGCGTCTGGTATATAGCGCTCCCCACATCCAAAACAAAGGTCAACATGCATGACGAAACATGGCGAGGAATGACGGAAATGACTGAAGTGTGAGCTTTTATCATGACCGTAGTATTCAAATGAATGGTAGCATGGCACGAACGTCATTGATTTCTTTGAGCTTGGCATCCTTCTTCTCTATAGTCTTCTGGGCCACCTGCTTCTTGGATTCATAACAGCCTTGTTCCCGCTGCTTCTTCTATCATTGACAAAATCCTGGAGCGAAACAAATCACAGTTGTTAACATGTTTCTTACGATCAACATCGTAAATAACACTCAGCTATTTAATGACATCTTTGTGAAGTAAGGGCAAGACATACGCAAAAATACAAAGTAGTATTTGCCCAAAGAGCAGGAAGCAAAACATAAAAATTACATCCCTCTTGAGCACGTGAAATAAAATACAGCCGATGTATCGATAAATCAGCGGAAGTAGGCTAATAAATGCAAATATTATCAGCTTTTATAAATGTTTCCATACAGCGAATACAAACTGGCAAACACCACATCATGCGCTCGTAATAAGCCATGCATTTCAAGTTCAGGGTACCTGATTTCGAAAAAACGCTGAATAAGTGGAAGGGCGGACCACATGGGGTCCATGGCTCACAGAGAAAACCGCCGATTATTTGGTCCAAACTCTTAACTGGTTCCCCACGCATGTCATGCTTTCGGGACCAGTCACAAAACAAAACGCTGTCTTGAACACCCACGTGACCGCTTAGATGGCCAATGGTGTGTGCCGGGGACCACAGCCCTCTCACCTCTGGCGGCTTCATGTTGAGGACCTTGGTAATGCGGCCCTGCATGATGAGGAAGTGAGGGTTGTTGACGTTCAGCTTGACCGAGCGGAACAGGTCCTGCACCCGGTTGTTCTGCACGTTCACGCCGTTGATGGCGTACTTGTTCCTGCCACCGACCACCACCTGTTCCGCCATGGCCAGGGAGGGTGTAACAGTAGGGGGCAGACGCCAAACACGACAAACCAGCCATTCCTTCCGACGGTACACTGCATTCGATTCACAACAGAAGGGAGCGACCCCCGCCACCGGACAATCATCCGCGTCGAGATTCTCCCGACATATTGAGACAAATGGCCATGTGCGTGAGCGGAGTGCAGAACAGCATCAGAACTGCAGTGCATAGCACCGTCCCTACGGTTGTAACACCGTCCCTCGTAACGCCGTCCGTCCCGGTGCACAACCTGTCGAGTGATGGTGATCTCGTCGTACTGCTCGTAGCCGAGAGGGCTCTCGGCCTTGTCGCTGTTGTCGAACGTGATGGACACAGTGGCCTTGGTGACGCCCGCCTGGCCGTTCTTGTACACCAGCTCCTGCAGGTTCGTCGCTCGCACCTGCAGCGGGCGTCGATCGCACGCACAGGTCAGCACACACCGCACACCCCGACCCGAGCGCAGCTACAGTGATGGCGATCTCTGATGCAATGCATCTGTGCTCTTGCGTTTAACCGTTCGCTGGATAGGCTGAAGGTTGCGCGGTCGAATTCTATGCGTTAAATTATCCACCGGAAGTCATATTTCAGCGAAATATACGCCTTGACAGCACGTAATTTGGCACCCGGGTTGTTAATCTGTACCGGAGCACACACCGTAGCAGTGTAACTCACACAAACTTGTCGCTAAACGATCAACGTATACAGGCTTTGTACAAGTACGTATGTCAAACGAACGCTGCCCGTTACCGATATTTGTGTACATGGAACGGCTTAGGAAAAATTACGTACGTACTTGATACATCCGAACTCTTCCATACCAACTTCCACACTAACTTTAGTCAATACGAACATTTTGCACACATACTTAATGCCCATGGACATTTGAGTTGAGTTGAGTTATTGAGTTTGGAGGGCGCGTCAACCAATGATATCTGCTTATAAAATTTCGTAAGAGTTCTCCCGTTCTCTTCTGCTGTACAAACAATACCTTTGCAGAGTTCATCCTCGAATAACTGCTTACATACATCATGGACATGTAACTTTCTCGTTATGAACTTCTGCCCTAAACCCGGTCGGTTGACAGCACTGCGCCCTCTTAGGAGCTTTATTCGTGACATCAGTCGAGGCCTCTAACGTCATCACGGGCACCTATCCAGGTCACCTCGAATGGCCTGGCAATTAAGCCCTGTAACGAAATCGCTTTACCCCAGTATAATTTGATCGTTTGCAGAATTCGCGCCAGCGCTGCTGGCGATTTACTTTAGGTTCAATGTCATCAATTATGAATTACCACGTGCAGAAACCAGAGCCATGGTTAAAACCGGAACGACGGACATAACGGAACACTTGCCCTGAAAAGTACGCCATGCGCACATGATCGCACCACCCCTCATGGGGTGTCAGCGACTATGGTGATTACGATAGCGCCCAGTAGCCATGCCTCAACTGGGATTTGCCATCCGGCAGTGAGCTGCAGACCGCGAGGCTAACCATTCGGCCCATGACAACGCATTTGACAGTGGGCAATCGAGCATAGCCCACATGCTCACACCTGAGTCAACATTAAATTGGCAGTCACTGAGACACTTTCCCCACCACATTTCCTGCCCCAAAACTATTGCCTGACTATGAAGACTTAAACAGCACGTGAAGTCCCAGTGCTTTCCAAAGGAGAAGCAATTGTTGTTCGCAGGGTGGTCAATGAAAACATCCCATACCCCACCAAGCAAATGTCTCATGATTGAGGCTTTGTTTTGTCTCCCACCATCTGTCAGGGTTGTTTCAAGACAGAGTCCCATTAGGCCACAATGTGGGAAGCCGTGGTGCCGTAGCGGGAGCTCGTTACCCCCAGACAGACAGGTCTAGAACTGAGTGTCCTACCTACTTTACCCCAACCAACCCCAACTGAAATCTTCTGCATCTGAGGAAATGGATAAAAAATTCGATTTAGCAACTGTGGGTTGACCTGTAACTTGTAAAACAAAAAACACATGCTGCATCATGTGATTCTTCTAAGGTCAGGAAACAGAGCTTACTTTTGGATGCACCTTATATATATATATATATATATATATATATATATATATATATATGGTATGTATGTGGTTGTTTAATATGTGGTTTAGATAACAAAGTTTGCATAGCTGGTAAGCATACATTTGAATAAAAACACACACCTCACCCTTGCTCATCTAACTCTCTCTTGCTCTAGCTATCTCTCACTCTCCTCTCAATCAAGACAAAAACAAAACTGGTCCACATATCAATAGTTGCCACTGTAAAAAGCCCGACCACATGAAAACTGCACAACAAAACTGCACACTTCAAAATATGTAAAAAGTGCAAAAAGTATCACATTAAGGGACACCCATTCACAAACATTCACATTCAGTTGCAAGAAATCTTTCTGTACACTACTTACATGGCTGAGGTTTGTGATGCCCAAGACAAAGCAAATGCCATCCAGTATATTGGATTTGCCACTGCCATTCAGTCCAGTAATTGCATTAAATGATGGATCAAAGCCAGTAATTTCAGTTCTTTGACCATATGACTTGAATCCATCAATCAGCATGGATGTGACATACATTGTTCAGGTCTGAAAATGGTGATGAAGCAGAGGTTAGTAGTGCAGGCAAGTAGTGAACAAATGCAGCCAATCAATATTCACATCATTATTTTGTCATATTACTGAAAAATTGAGACACATCAAGGGTTACCAATATTTGCTCAAGTTAAGTTAACTAACCATCCAGATCATGCATGAGACAGGCTCTTAAGCATCAAAACATGCTAAGTACACATTTCAGACCCACATGACAAACCTTCACATAACTAAAGCACTGTCCAGTTTGAGTGATGAGACAAAACTAATGCAGAATAATCAGGAAATGAAATGGCGTAAGTTAGACCACCGAAAACAACAAATCAGCATGAATAACGCCACCTAGACCTTTGCTGCAGATGAAAGCAGCCACACAACCAATAAGAATATCAGCAGTAGAGAAAACGGATTGCAGAATGTTCAAAATGGGGTATTTTTTGCTCCACAAATTCCCTAGTGCAATGCTGTCAAGAATGTAAGTAAGAGATGCAATTCAGGAGAACACATTCCCCTATCTTCACATCTTGTTCCAGCAAAATTCAAAGCATGCACACCATACATCTGAGTGCTCAGGTGCAGCTTGAGTGGTAAGACAAAACTAATGCAGATTGATCAGGAAATGAAATGGCATACATTAGACCACAGAAAACAACAAAGCAGCATGACTAATACCACCCAGACCTTTGTTGCAGATGAAAGCAGCCACACAACCAATAACAATATCAGCAGGAGAGAAAATGGATTGCAGAATGTTCAAAATGGGGCATTTTTTGCTAAACAAATTCCCTAGTGCAATGCTGTCAAGAATGTAAGTATGAAATGCAATTCAGAACACATCCCCAATCTTCACATCTTGTTCTGGAAAATTCAAAGCATGCACACCATACATCTGAGTCCTCAAGTGCTCAGCACACAGTCACATCTGATTCTAGATCATGGAAGGTGCAATTCTTCAGGGAATTATGGTTTGTAGAGGTCAGTTCCTGCACAATACTTCTGACATACTTTTCCCCATCAAAATGTATTTGAAAATTTTCAATGATCTGGTCTGGCCTACATCATGCAACACTTGCACTCCAGATCCAGCAAGACGATGTCGAGTGATTTCTCAGTGACATCACCAATGGTATAACAGCGTAACCTCTAACTCAATCCTCCACCTCACCACCACTTACCTTTTTACCACTGGCTCATCAATTACTTTTCTCGAAATATACTTAGAAGGGAAGTGAGCACCTATCTCGGTATGAGCCACGCATGCTCCCCTTATTCAGCAGTCGGTCCCGTAGCAAAATAAAGGACGATTATTCCAATATCCGACGAATCCCGCCTCCCGCGTTTACCTGTTCGCCCATCCCCTTTCCCGCCGTCTATGCGCTGATTATGTAGCTTGTGCGCAGCAATATTGCAAAGAAGCGGGCATGTCCTTTTCAAAAACAGTACAAACTACCGCCGCGGTTCCTCAAAACACAGCAACACGAAGAGAAACTGAAGATACGTTACATCAAGCAGATATGCTCGTTTTCCAAAATCGCTCGTCACATTACTTTGAAATCTTTACTTACCGATTAAGCCCAATGATGTGAGCAAGTGGGTGGAAATGTCGTGACATGGCCTAAGGCCGAACACCTCGGGAGCGTTCGGCCGGCAAATGATCTCGGAATGATCTGGAACATCGGAAAAAATCGGAGGGTGTTGGTACTGTCAGCACAGAAAAAGACAGAATCTGTTTTCGTTGTGCGTAGCCCTGACTGTTGGCTGTGCGTGGTGCATGGGTGACGAATCTGGGAGATAATTTCGGACCAGACGAGCGCAAATAGATAAGCTACGTGAAATGATTATAAGAGAGATAATTTTTTCGCTGAATAAGTTTTCCTTGGCCCAATGGGCCTGTCAAAAACGTGAATGGATGATTTCACAGATCAAAGCAGACAACTCAGTCCTCGGAATCTCTCCTCTGATCAAAGTAGAAACTAACCATTTGATGCACCTACATGACTCCCGTCCTGCAGATGGCAATCTGTTGACCCCTAGATCGGGTCAAAAGTCACCAAATTTTACCAACATCCAAATCTTTGCTTGCGGCAACTCAGAGCTTAGAATCTGCCTCCCCGGAAAACTTCACCTTCACGATTTGACGTGTCACCCGGGACTCTCTCTTGCAGTTGAGAAGTTGGTGGTCAAGTTCGAAGCATCAAATTGTACAACTTCCAAAATTATTGTTCCAGTCAACTTAGATTTCAAAAAAAATTTCTGGAACACCCACCAAACCTTCATAATTTCGACGGCGCATACCCTGAATCCCTACTGAAGTTGGTAGCGCAGGCAGGTGGAGGAGGCACAGGGACTACGCCCCCCCCCCCCTCGTTAGGTTCTCGTTAGGCTTAAGATCAAGAGCCCGAAAGATCAGCCGGAGTTTTCATTTAGGGGCCCCGGTCCGCGGGCCGGATACTCCAATGTCAGCCAGAGTACCATGCGTGCTCATTAGGAGCCCACTGAGTCGATAAGGGCATATCTTTTGGTCTGACACCACCAGTAACGCACAGTCGGCTGCGTGGCGCATGGGCCTGAGGACCCATTACCCAAGCAGAAACAAACCGGGGCCAGTGATTTATATTGCTCGGGGCCCCACAGCGCCTAACAGGGGCCCTGTGTTGTTAAGGGGCCCGATTCGGCCAGAGGCTGTGTTTGGGAAGGCCCGAAGAGCCTAGAGGTCCCACCGGGTCCGAAGATCAAGGGTCCGATTGGAGGGCCTAAAGGCTTAAAGAGCTGGCCGAGGTCTTATTTAGGGGTCATGATCATGTGAAGAAGGACCCTCAAATAACAGTCAGAGAGCCCTTTGCGTCGATCGGGGATCCTCTCTGCCGATATGGGTCAATATGTCGGTCAGGTACCACCGTACCACATAGTCGGCTTCGTGTCGGTATGGCCTGAGGACCCATTTCTCAATCAGCTATAAAGCCGGGGCCAGTATTTGCACTGGTCTGTGGTCTGGTATCTGTCAGGGGCCCACAGCTTAATAGAGGCCCTGTGTTCACAAGAGCCCCGAGCCGACCAAGGAAAGTAGATGAGACCCGAAGAGGGGCCCGGGCGGCCCATGGGTACCGATGATCAAAGGCCCGGTTGGAGGGCATAAGGGCCCGAGGGACCGGCTGCAGGTCACAAAAATGATCGCGGCCCTAGGGACGTGACCTGAA